TCTCTAGTTTCCGAGCTAGGCACCCACGGAGTTGTGCAATTTATTTCATGCAGACTATTTCAAAGAGATTCAGACATGCATGACACCATAGAAACTTGAAATTGTTATACAATGCATGCACCATACAATGCATGATAAAATGCGTCGCCCCTTCTCCTCTCGGCTGCATCCTTGCCTCCTTCTTCTGTTGTCTGTGACAAAAGCATCCAAGCATGAGTTGCACGCTAATATGCTAACATCAAGGGTAAAGCAGCGGTTGTTGTTGTGGTAGTGATGACTAGTAGTGGTGGGAATGCCGCCGCTCAAATGAGGTAACAAAAATTGGACATAGAAATTGGCTTCCGGGCAACCAAGAACAGCTGCAAGTGAAAGGCCCAGGAGTAGTCCAAAAATATTCTTCGTTGATTGAGAGAGTCGTGATTGGAGTGTTTTATAGTTCGTTATGTTGTTCAGAAGGCCAAACGCTATTTTCGGGTGTACTATACGTCCACTTGCAGGAGCAATCCGATCGTTAAGAAACCTTTTACGGCGCCCCTGATTTATGTGCATTTGTTAGGAGGGCCCTGCGCCGTTGCCGGCCCCTTCCTTCTAGCGTGTCGGGGCACTCTTATTAATCGGGGGCCTTCCACGGATTATTTCCATTCACCCGAAGAGCTCTGTATGTTATAACCGGGGCCTTAACTGTTATCCCGCCGTGGCGCTCTCCATTGCTCAGGGGCCTTCACGCTGGTCTGGGTCACTGCACCGACACACTTACACTACGCTCACAGGCCCGCTACATCGGTCCAGGGTCCCTCCAGTTCTCTATCTTTTGCTTAGGGCCCTAAGCTCTTGCCGGGGGCCCATCCGTGGGGGGCCCTTTTCGGGAACACTGGATTGCTTGGGGCCCTGAACATTGGGTTTGGTAGTTGATTGTAGGGTCTTACCCTCTCGTCAAGGGCCATCTGACTGCCTGGTTGGGTGCTCTGGATATCTAGGGGGCCCTCACACAGGGATATGTGTGCTTCGCATTTGAATGGAGGGCCCGCGCTCTCGTCAGGGGCCCTGTCTATTGACCTGTTTGGGTGCACTCAGTCGTTTGGGACCCTTCCACATTGTGTCGTGGGCATTTTTTTCCTTCAATGGAGGGCCCTACGTTTCTCTTGGGAACCCCATCTGTTAAGCTGTCCAGTCGCATTCGATCATTCCTGGGTCCGCCATACTGTGTCCTGGGTACGTCAAATTTGATTGGATGGCCCTATGTCCTTGTCGGTGTCTCATCTATTATGCTGCTCGGGCCAGTAGCGGAGCCAGAAGGGGGACGCGGAACTATACCCACCAAATTGGACGTCGTTGGGCCTTCAGACGACCAAGAACAGTCAAAACGAATGTGAAGAGCCCACGAGCAGACAAATCTAATTCTTCGCTGATTGAGAGGGTGGTGATTGGGCAGTACGTTTAGGCTCATTACGCTATCCAGAGGCGCTACGCTGTTGCTGGGCCTAAATCTCCACTTGCCAGGTCAATCCATTCGCTAGGGAGCCTTCCGCGTTGTCCTTGGTCTCTTCTCATTTCCCGTAGGGTCACGCACACTGGTCCTGGGTACTTCCCCTTTGTTCAGAGGGCCCTAACTCTGGCCTGGTCTTACATTTCATTCTACCGGGGCACTCCCGATCGTTCAGGGGACCACCTCGCTGGTCTCGGGTTCTTCTCGCTTACTCACAAGTCCCTATACTTGCTAACGGAAGCCTGTTTGTTTGCCTCCCGCGGCATCCATGATCGCTCAGGCTCCGTCCCGATTGGCCTCAGTGCATTAGCCTTAGAGCAGCAGTCGGATATGCGCCGACGAATTTTTACGCACATTGTCGGGCACACTTTTACGTGCCGCGGACGTCTCATGCATCAGTTCCGTTGGTAATTAATTTGTGACGCCTATTATACTCTTGCATCACGTCTTAATACATTTCAAATGCTAGGATCCTCCGTACTTCTTCACAACAAACAAGGCAAAAACTCTGCATTAGTCAGCAGCCGTCAGCTTTTGATATCTACCAGCCGGCGGCGGGCGCCAGCTGCTCGCACCGGCAGTATATTTATTATACAGTGTTTCTAAAGAACGTTTGGACTCAGCCATCAGATGCAAAAGAAGCAGTTTATGGTGACAAAACAGGCATAATAAATGTCTCAGAAAGTACTGAATAGATGGGCACGATGACACGAAACGTCAAGCAAGTATTTGCGAAAAAAACTTAATTGGAGTGCTCCACATTTGTGTTGGGTATCAAATTGAAATAGCCATCTGGAAGATCATCTGGTGCAGTTCACAGCCCTTCCCGTCTTAAGAACTAACCCCGCCTGACTTCTGAGCTACACACCCGCGGAGACATACGGGCTTCTTCAGGGATATTATTTCAAGGTCACCCAGGTATCCATGACGTCATAGTAACATCATTTAGTCTTGTCATTCCAGTGTCCATACGGCGATCATGGCCACGGAGGATGCGATCGTCGAGTTGTTCAAACCTGGCTTTCGTGAGCACAATTTCCAGAAACAGTGGCCGTGGACTGGCTCTCAATCAATGTAAAGCATGGCACGATGACGCTGTCAAACATTGACGCATTGGATGAAATATGAACTAAATGGAGAAATTGGCTCATCTAGAGGAGGTTTTTATGTTTAAAGGTGTACCAACATTTGTAAATGAGGTTTTTCGTCATATCTAATGCTTGTTTTAATATCTTCAAATGTGGAACATTCGCTTTTTAAGGCCGTGAAGGGATCCCGACCAAAAGGGCCCGCGATCAGACAACGAAACGATTTGTGATATTCAAGGACCCCGGCCCTGCTGGGTTAGAGTTAAAGTTCTGACTGGCCTTCGAATGCAGATTTCAAACATATTTTAACAGATGCACGAAAGGTTGAAAATAACGACGGTCTGTCTGATAGCGAAAAAGGAGTGGTTGAGCTTAACAGGAATGCTCAAAAGTTGAAGATATCGAAGGAATGATTAGAGATGATGAAATAAGCTCACGTATAACTACTGAAATACGCTTAAGCGGGAAAGCTGCTCCAAACAATACAAGTTCTCTATGAAGTGAACATGCTCCTCAATGCGTCCTTGTTTTATTGCGTTTTTGTGCTTTGCGCAATATTGATTGGGACCAATTGAGCGGCGTTTTATCTGGAAATCGTGCTCACAAGCAACAGACTAACTCGACAATTACATATTTCGAGGTCTTGATGGCAGCATGATCGATGTAATATTAGGATTGAACCAACATTATTATGGCGCAATGGATGCCCGGATGACCTCGAAATAGTTCTCACGAAAAAGTCTGCACATCTTCGCGGGCTGGTAGCTCAGAAATTAGATGGGCCTAGGTCTTGAAAGGGCATTTCTGTGAACTACACTAAATGATCTTTAATAGGGCTTTTTTCAGCTCAAAACCCTACACAAACGTGCCATGAAACCCAAAACCCAAAACCCTATACAAAACCCTATATATCACCCCTATAAGCACACGCAAAAAAAAAACAAATTATTTGACGCAAAGCTCTCGATTTCAAGACATCTCCAACTTAATATTTTTGACACTTCCTATGATCGTCTTAACTGCGTGGGATAGTTGTGAACAACACAAACTCCTCATCTCTCGAGATCATCTTTATATATCATTGTCAGGCTCAAAAGACGGGGAACTTGATATTACCGAAATAATACTGGCTGATTTCGGGCGTCTAGGCATCAAAATCTGTATTTGCCCATGTACTAGCGTCCGACCATAAGCTCTCACCTTTGAAGATCACCCTTCAAGTTCAGATGACGAGCGTTTCCATATCACCCGGAGTATACCTGTCGATTTCATATCTTCAAGCTTCAGAATATTCATCAGCGCATGAACCAGCGTCCGGCATGAAATCCCGCCTGCTCAAAATCACTGTAAGTGATCAAATTCAGTCCCACATGACGAGAAACTCCTTGCCACCTGGTTGGTAAATTTTGAGAGACAACAAGTTCCCGGTCATTTGACCATGAAGCGTTACCTTGAGAAGTCAGCATTTTTTCACGGACATGTGCATGTGCAACTTCGTTCATGTGCAACTGAATCTTCCGACGCGTAAACAAATATGAAGGCGGCCGGTGACTTATGGGTGATGTGGAGGTTCCCGTCATTTAAGTCTGAAGTTGACCTAAAATGGTGACCTTGAGAGCAATGGTCGATGTGCTCGAGACGATTGTAATGTTAAACGGCCCGAAATCGGCCGGCATAACGTTTTGGTTCCGTGAAGCTTTCTGTCATTTGACTTTGGGAAGTGTCCCTGAGATTGCAGGACTTTTCACAGACGTTGGTTCATGCGCTGGCGCATATTCAGACGCTTTGGATTTCAGTTTGGCCATTACTAACTTTCTGGTGATATCGATTTCTGAGTGTGGTTTCTCACTGCGCCATTTCTCATTTCTCTTGAACGATGATACGATATGGCTATTTGAGCGTCAGTTTTCGCCTTAAAGGAGGGTGCTTCGAGAGGTGAGTGCTTCTGGACGGACACTACGTCATGCTTTAAATACGATTCTGATGCCGGAGAATCCAAAATTAGCCAGCATCTTTGGGTGAGATGTAGAGTTTCTGATCATCTGACCCATAATTTTACCTTGAAGATCTGTCATATTATGTGATATTGAAAATTAATGTCATATTCCGTTCTGCCGCGCCGTGATTGATCATCATGATTGACCATCAAGATCGCATTTGGGATAGAAAACTTGGATAAAGTAGGGGAACTCTAATCGACATTGCAGGAGACGTGCTTGAACGCAGAATGTCTTCAGTTGTTTCTTATGAGATAAAAAAGTGCAAGATAACCCTTGACAATGTCTACCCATTCGCGCTGTTTGACGTGCTTCAACACGTCAACAGGCAGCGTTTATATTGTCCAGAGGTATTTAATAGCCTTCACCTTTATTCTTTTGCCCTCTGCGTTTCCGCTGGTGTCTGCGCCGAAATTGAACCCGATGCACGTTTTGTGAAGGCGCCATCCAGCGGTGGTAATCATAATTCGGCATTGTTCGTTGCCGTGATTTGTTTAGTCACAGTCGGAAGGCGTGCGCCAGCCGGCGGTAAGTATGGGGGTTGCGGATGTATCGTTTTCATTGTTAAGTAATGCTGAACTTATTATTCGCTGTATATGTTGGTGCGGTGTCGGCCGGTTTGAAATGTCAGTTATTTCCTGAGCCTGGTTCGAGAACTAATCGTTGCTTCCGTGTAGTGAGAGGTTGTAGAGATTGGTAATAACAAAACAGTCCTTGCGAATTTCCACTGTGTTCTTGTCTGGTGTCGGAGAACCTTCTTTTGCACAAATTGGCAGTAAGCACTGTTCATGAGCCGGTCCTAGTGATTACCACTGACAGTTGAAGATCAGCAGGTTGCAACTCAGGTATTGTCTGGCTTCCTATGTAAATCCTGCTTTCCAGAGTGTGTCCACACATATGGTTGTTTTGAAGCTATGGAGCAGATGATAATTTGTCTCATGCTGACAGTTTTGTTTTGAATTGAGTTGTAAGTCTCAGGTAACATCAGTAGAAACCAATGCCTGAATTTGTGTGTCCCTGTTGAATTATGTGCCACAGCACATTGTGCCAACATTGTGACTGAAAGAATGTCCAAGCTGCTGCCACACTAATAGGATTGTCTGGCACATAGTGGTAAGTGCAGCTACCTGCCTGCCAAGATAGTAACTTTCTTTGGGATAGGGATGCCAGGGCAATATGATACCCACCTATGCTTCTGCTGACTGTCCTGAATTTAGGACCAGGGGCAGTGTCAGAAATTTGGTTTGGGTTCCTGGTTCTCTAACAAAGTAACTACAACAGCTTCTTACCAGTGAAGGTAAAATCATTCTCACTTGAAATGCCAGGACAAATTAATATTCAAGTAGACTTCTTGTGACCAAGATGTATTTAGTTCAGAACCCAGGGTGTAGTTTACTGTTTATTGGGAGGGGATGGAAATTTGCTCAAATTCAGCAGAAAAGCATGCTTTGTACTCTCTCCAGGGTTTAATAATTTTCTCTACTCACCCCTTTCCAAACTGATATCCAAAAGCATACCATCGGGAACAACAGACTGCTGTGTGTTTGGGGCCCGAAGGTGAATGCAGCAGGGGCAGGCATATTATTTCCTCCTCATAGAGCAAACCAGTCTTACATAGTTACCATATTCTACATCTACTTGCTGATGTTGAATCTGATATAAACAATACTTTCCTTAGTGTATGATGCTTAGCTGAATTTCTATATAGTTAATATCTGTGTTCTCAAATAGTCCTTATATATGTTCTCAACCAATTCTGCTGTCAATAATGGACACAGCTGCTACACAAGCTTCTAAATTAATGTCAGAAGAAGCTTGAAATGATGCACACTGTGGGGTAGTGTTCAACACACTGTGGAGTAGTTTTCAGTGGCACGGCCATTGGCAGTTATTTGTTTGATTTGAAATTGCTTTTCTAGGATGTTAATGATATTCCAGAATTTGTCATTGGAGAAACCCAGCCCAAGTAAAGAGTAAATATCAAATATTCAACTTGATATATGAATGCAAAACTAATAGCCCTGCCCAGCAGGACCATTAGTTTTGCATTAAAAAGGAGCATTGCTTTTACTTTACAAACTCCCTTTAAATTGGTCTTGGTCCTCAGTATGTGGATACAAAATTTCAGGCTTTTATCTGGTGCTATCTTGTTACATTTTGATCCAGTGATCTGATTTAGTTTATTGATGGAGAATCTGCCCGCTCTTGAATCCTAAATTGGAAAAAAGCAGGAGACTTCGGAGCTGTTGATTCTATGCGCCCAATTGAGAGTATGATGGTGTTTGACAGCAATATTATACCTGAGATATGGTCTTTGTTTGTATCACTTTAATGGGAAATTAAGTAAATGCAAGATAACAAGCATAAAGTGCTCTTTTGTTTCCAATATATGAAATTCACATGTAAATATGGTATTTGTTTTTTAATGCGGATTTCGGAGTCAGGCATCTTGGTGCGGAAGTGTCTTCGGTAGACGGTAGGTGGGTTGGACGTGTGTTGTTGAGGAGGATTGAGCTAGGCAGGGTGCATTGAAAGGAAAAATTGTGCGTGAATTTATAAAAGACACGGCAGAACCCGCAAGGAGCACCCCTCAATTTGTTGTGGTGGGCGTGGCACACAGCGATGTCGAAGTTGCGGGACGGGCTCATGTCCGTCTCACATTGTACAAAGACAAGTTTTGGTTCCATTCTTTCCAGTGTATGTGTGGAGAATCGTATGGCTGGATACAAAATCATTCACGTTCATTCACATTTCAGGTATTGACCAGAGGTGTATCATCCTGTCTTGTTGGATGAGACTCTAGCCCCTCTCCCCGACCCTGAAAAGAAGTTTGGTCAAATTCAAAGAGAAAACATTGTTTTTGTTATTGATATTGGTTTAACAACTTTCTCTGCTCAGGCCCCTTCCCAAACTTGAGTGCAAAATTACTCGGTGTGGCACGTCAGAATGCTGATAAGGTGTGGCGGGAAAGTTAGAGCTTGACGTGTACTATTGTTTTTTATAGTGAGATGATATCATGTCCCCATTTCCTGATCATTGTCGGCATTTTCTGGTCTACAAAGGCGATTCATGTAGAATCTGTTCCTGTAAAGTGAGGTAAAGTCCTTAACCATGACCTGGGCATGCAGCTAGTAAGTATTTTGGTCGCCCAATTTGTCGGACCTTAAGAATGTATCCGGCGATTGGCATTACCCAGAGGATACGATCAGAACATGACTGAAGCCCGGAGCGTGCAAAAGTCTCTGTTATCGGGCACCCAATCACGGAGACCTTGCATAACCGCCGCTGTCACGCCGCCCGTGTCCGAGCCAAGGCTGACTGACTGACGTGCGGCGTTGTGCCTCTGCGCTCGCCGGCCGCTGGCCGCTGACCGCTGACCGCCGACCGCTGGCCGCTGGCCGCTGGCCGCTGGCCGCTGGCCGCTGGCCACTGGCCGCTGGCCGCTGACCGCCGGCCGCTGACCGCTGGCCGCTGACCGCTGACCGCTGGCCGCTGGCCGCTGACTGACCCCGGCGTCCGTCGTCAGGTCAGAGCCATGGCCGATTCGGACGACGAGTACGACCGGCGCCGGCGGGACAAGTTCCGCGGCGAGCGCACCGGCGACGCACGGCCGCGCCGGGACGACATCTACGACAGGTGCGTCCATCAGCCGGCCGGCCCGTCGCCGTGCCCCATCAAGCCCACGGGCGGGAGTCTTGAACAACAGCGGCGGTGTGCGCGGCGTTCGGCTGGCTCCCCTGAGCTGAGTTGGTCTGTTTTGGCGACGGGTGTTCGCCGCATGCTGGCTGGCGGCGGCCGGGCGCGCGGCTGCCTCCGTGTTTGCTGTCGGCCGCGTTTGACGCAGGGGGTATCTTGACGACCGCCGTGCGTCTCCAGGGAGTACGACCGCGGCCGGGCCGGCGGCGGCCAGATGCGAAGCCGTGGCGACTACCGGATTGACGCTTACCGTGGCCGAGAGCCGCGTGGGTACAGCCCCGGCCCGGACATGTCGCCGCCGCCGCACAAACGCATGCGCGCCGACTGGTGAGTAGCGTGACGCCGTAGCGTGTTTGGTCAGGCCTGTGGCCGGCGTTGGCGCCTCGGGCCAGGCCAGCCGCGCTCCGGTTGAGGGCCTCGGACGGTGCTATCATGTCTGATATTGCCTAACCTCGCAAGGGTGCCTGCCCGGATGGTATTGCTGGTCTGGCGGTGCTCGCTTGCCAGACAGCGCTGTGCAGTCTGATGGTTTTACCGCGCGTGTCGGTGTCAGCAGACCGGCACGTGTGACTGTGTGAGGCGGTCTAACCCCGCGTGACGGTGTCAGCAGACCGGGACGTGTGGCTCTGTGTAAGGCGGTCTGACACCACCTGACAGTGTCAGCTGACCGGCACATGTGGCTCTGTGTGAAGCAGTCTGACCTGGCCTGACGGTGTCAGCAGACCGGCACGTGCAGCTCTGCGTGAGGCGGTCTGACCCCACCTGACGGTGTTAGCAGACCGGCACTTGTGACTCTGTGTGAAGCGGTCTGACCCGGCCTGACCCGCCGTTACCGGCTCCGCAGGGGTGGTGGCGAGCGTCGTTTTCCGTCGGGCTACGGCGCCGGTGACGGGTACGGCGGCGGCGCCGGCCCGGGCCCCGGCGGACCGCCCTACGGTGGCGGGTAAGTACGCCACACGGAAGCCGCCAGACGGGAGCCGCCAGACCGGCACGTCTAACTGGCGGCAACTACCGCGAAGTGGCGCATTACATTATCACTTGGTGCTACATAAGGGTCATGCGAGCCAAACAACTAACCATTCAACAAGCATGTGAATATCAAAGTTAAGCTTCAAAGATGCCGTCTAAAACCAATAAGGTGAAATCCGTTACGAGCAGTGATTTTGTTTTGCTGCTGTACCTAGTAAAAGCGGAAGGTGTTAAAATTATGAAAATTGTACGCGTTGCAATATGTTGAAATTTGGCATGCGTTCACATAAAATTTCTCAGAAAACAGTGCTCTTTAGCTACGCCAGTCATTTTCTATTTTGGTGTATTTCCTTCGTTACATAATGCTATATTTGTTATGCATCTATTTTTAGCTGCGAGAAAGAGCGCTCAAATATCTCGCAGTTTTCAAGTTCAATTTTGCGATGACCGTCGACGCCATGCGAGCCACACTAAATAATTCCTAGCACCATGTGGAAGGCGTTATTTTCGGGACCGGGCCGCAAACGGTGCTGCCTCGTACGTTATGCACGACGCAGGCGAACGTGGCCCCATGTGGGACGGAACTCCATCTCTTAACGTCACTTATTGGGTTAGAGGAATTTGCGTGCGCCTTGCTGGTTTCTGTTTCCAATAGCATAATTATTTTTCGATGACCTGGTAATGTGGTATGCAAAAGTAACCTGCATTCGCTGTATTGGGTGGCATCGTTCGTTTTCCAACCCTTTTATGGCCTTAAACGTCCCCTCCAAGCACACAGCTGGCACCGAGCGTGCCGACAAAATCACGGAGAGAGCGATTGTTTGGACCAGCATCACCCATCATCATCGTCTGATGTGTTAGACTCGTCTGCCTGTACGTAACGTGTCGGCCAGTGAACTCTGGCAGTTGTCAGGTGTTACTGAGTCCTCGTTATCTGAGTTATTGAGCCCTAGTGACGCAATAACGCCTCACGGTGGCCGGAAAGTTAACTGGCTGCGGCGTTGTGTACATACTACTTACTCATCAGACGAGGTTTATAGTCCGATTATTTCATCTCTGATGTTAAGAGCGCAAAATGGTCCCAGCAGTCGCCGCGGGTGAAAACTACAGTAGTCAGGTCATCAGTGATATTAATGGTTCGTTTCAACCCTTCCACAAAATTATGATGACAGCAAGCTAGAAAAAAAGAAAACTCAGGGGATATGCGCCTGAATGGTTATCTCTAGTGCTGCATCGCCGTTCGTTCGTTGGTTGGTTGGGTCGGTCGGTCGGTCACCCGCCTGCCTGCCTGCTTGTAAGGAGTATTATGATTGCACTTGCTGCCATTTATCAAAAGCGCCCTCGCAGCTGCAGTCAAAATGGTTTTGAACCACAAGACCCCCGTTCCCCAGGCATGCCCCCTTCCGCCCGCTCGTTGACGGGTCCGGCCGCCCCGGCTGCGCAGTTCATCAGCCGGCGGCGGCCGGCCGCTTGACCCGAGGCGTTGGCCCCGCTGCCTCCCGCGCGGGGCCGCCTGCTCTGTGGCGCCGCCTGCTTTACAGATGTTCGCTCGGTGCGGCGGGTATTTGCGATTCGATATGTTTGGGATAAACTTTTGATGGTGGCTAACAATAGGATGCCAGAAAAGTTGACCTCGTTTCAGAGCTCCCAAACTGCGCCCTGAAAATTGAGAGTGGGCATTTCGGCTCCCAGCAGTCTGTGCGTGAAAGTGAGATTAATGCCATTGAGTGTACCAACAAATAGTTATCGGTTGAGCTTTCAAAATGTGTAGGATGCTCTGCAACATGGCCTGTAACGCAATATTTGCAGCGCTCGTCATTCATTTGCTGTCCTTTTCTGAGTTGTGCCTTGTTGCTTTGTTGCTGCTGAAGGCGAGACCGAATGCCAAGCGTTAGCGTGCCTTTATGGAAAGCGTCGGCGATTTGTTGGGGTCGGGAAATGCCTTTGGAATTACAGTTCCTGCTGCCCTCGGTGAAAAATGAAACAGGAATATTCGTAGCAGGCACGTTTTCTTAAAAGTCTAACAATTTTCGCGGCGTTGGCCTTATAACCAGTCACTGTTACCATGTTCACGAGATGCCTTCCTGGAAGCTTTGCCATACGCGAGAACCGCGCCAGCGTCTCATCATTTATTCCGGTGCGCCGAGCAACTACACCCGTGGGGCTAAGTGGACACGCAGCTGCGGCGTGTGATGGTCTAAATAACCGGTAAGTATTTTTGAGCCAAGTCAGGGAGTCAGTAGGGTCGCTGCAGGGAGTAGAGCCAATGGTTTTTCCTCAGGCAACCGGCCAACGGTACGAAGCCACTGACGTCCCCGTGGCCGATTGGATAGGTAGAGGATCGAGGACTGCTGGTTCGTAGCCCGCGGGCTCAAGTCACAAAGAACAGTCCGCTTGGTGAGACCACACCGGGTGCAAGCAGTTGCGCTAACATTACGCGGCCATATTTTTAGTGAACGGAAAATGACACAAGCGATGCACCACGTAATTACTGGTGTAACCAGTAATTCTTCAGAGCTATGCACTGGTGCATGCTTTGAGACATTCCTGTGACGGGGTTTTCCAGCACAGTCGACAGAAAAGTAGACGTCCGTCTGACGTGTCCTAGCAGGTGATCAGCACTGGGGACAGGTGTGAGGCTGATATTTCATGCAGGACAGCCCATGTATTTTCTGTCGTAGTTAGTCGAGGCTATTGCCGGCTGAAGCTATCAATAGTAGCATTATCACATTGTCTGCGATCGACGCCTGACTTCTTGAGTCCCGCATCGGTCCAGCTTCAAAACAGTGGAAGATTGGAGCGGTGGCCAAGCACGGGTTTCGGAATGCCCGCAGGCCGGCGGCCGTGGGGGGATGGCTCATGAAGCGAAGACGCTGACACAGTTCTTGACTCGAGTCAACGTCCGGCGGGGTTCGCCGCCCAACAGCGCCAGTATCTCGTTCCAGGAACCCCCCAGGCAGTGCGAAGGGAGCGAATAATTCACCAGTGCATCTCGGCGAGTCAGTGGGGCCTCAAATAGTAAACGATTCTGTGAAGTATGCAGTGGCATTGATCCAAGACTTCAGCGACCATTTGACCGGAGGCGAGGAGCCACTCGTGTAACTAATGCAAGGCGTAGAAAGCATTCACCAGCGCTGCCGGATGTAAGTGCACAACGGCCCGAACCCGATCGCAGTGCACGCGAGTAAGTCCAATTCAGAACTTCACGCTGCAGTACTAATCCGTTTAAAGGGAGTGTACCACATTTATATGGGGTTTTGAACTGAAATGCCGTTTTGAAGACATTTCCGTGCTGTTCACAATCCTGCCCTTAAGAGCTCAGTCCGTCTAGTTTCGTTTTGAAGACCTTTCCGTGCTGTTCACAATCCTGCCCTTAATAGCTTAGTCCGTCTAGTTTCAGAGCTACACGCCCGCTAAAATGGGCAAAGTTATATCGGGAGAGTATGCCAAAGCCACGTTGCAATTAATGACGTCATAAGGGCGTCACTCAAATCCTGCCGTTCCATAACCCATGCGGCGATCAAAACTAAGAAAAACATAATTGTCGAGGCGTTCGTATCTAGTGTTCATGTGCACGATTTCCAACAGACAATTGTGCCGTCTAGAGCAGCCTTTTCCGCTTGAAAAGTATACGAATACGTATAAGTGAGCCTGCTTCATCATACCTTCATCATATTGCTGCAATGTCATTTTGCCATGTCATATTGCCTCAAATATGAAACATTCTCTTCAGTACAAAGGCATCTAATAGGGCGGAACAACGTTTTTAAACTTCAAACAACTCCAGTACGACCCCTGCCGTTCCACGGGCGTCGAACTCACGCTCCGGTCACTGGGAGAGTGCCGCGCGTGAAGGCTGGTGCGCAAACCTGTGACAAACGCTCGTTTCTGGCATTCATTAAACATGATAGTGGAATGCACATCAGGGCCGCCTAGCACGTGACGTAAGGAGGGTTGCTTATGTTCTCAAGGCTGATAAAGGCGGTCAGGGCTGCAGCGTTTCTCGGGTATTTTACGACTGCTTGAGCGGAATGCAATCATCCCTCAAACTCTTTCCCTGCTACTTCCCTCTCCACACTCTGCTCTCGCTACCCCGCACGCGGGTAACCGGCTTGTCAGGTGGCGTCCTCGCGCGGCACTGGCAAGGAACCAAGCGGCTCGGGCGACGGAGTGAGGGGAGCCGTCAGGTGCAGCATCCGCCTGGTGTTTCAGCGGAAGAGCCGTGCCCTGGCTCACGCCAGGGAGGTGCCTGGTCAGCCGTTCGTGGATCAGGGCACCGGCTCCCGCGAGCTCCTACTCGTCGGCTCTGCAGCGGCACGTCTGGCTCTGCGGCCCGCGTGTAGCGCGTCTGTAAGCCTGGCGGCACAGCAGGGCTGCAGACGCGCAGGGCTTCATGCCCGCTGTGCCGTCCCCTGGTTGGGGTCGGCTTTGCAGCGGAGCGGACGCACCGAAACCCTTGGCATGTGGAAATCTGTCCACCCAAAACCACAACTTGACCGCTGCCGGTCCTCCCAGTGAAGGCCTGGGGTTCCTCTCGTCGCTGCGATCTCCGGTCGGGAGATTGGCTCTCAAGATGTGTGGAGAGTAAAAGGCGCCATTAGAGAGCCTGCGACATCGCAGCGGCTACCGCGGTACGTCGTCCCACGGTCAGCGAAGGATGGCAACGATGGGAACCCCGCTCCACTTCGTCTGAACACACACCAGCTCGAACAGACCACATCCAAGTTCGACAAACTGAGCAGCGAGTCTCGATATGCAGATGGCGGAATCGAAGTTAGGAATCGCGAAGGCAACGACATTAGGCAGGTGCTGAACGCCACGAACTGCGGCACATAGTTCGTGTTAAGGGGATGGCTAGTGTACCAGTCGTCGCCGTACCTCGCCCACGCTTAAACCGTCCTGGGCGTCATCACTTAATAGGATCTGCGTGATGTGGGTGAGGATGAAATCGTGGGGCGCATGGCAAGGGAGCGC